GACAACATTATGCTAATTAAAAGAGACCAGTCACTAAGACAACATATTATATAATTCAATTTATATGAAATATCCAGAGCATGCAAATTCATAAACACGGAAGTCGGCTAGTGGTTGCTAAGGGATGAGAGAGGGTTTGGAGAGGGAATGCTAACATGAATGGAATGGAATGGTCCTATAATTAATCCTGGGGATGGCTGATTAACCTTGTGAATACACTAAAGAGAGAGAGAGAGAGAGATAGGAGAGAGAGAATCACTGAATTAAGTTAAATGCTCTGGAGAGTGTAGATATTTTTGTTGAGGCAGACAATCCACCCCGGTGCAGCGATTAGGTCCAAACCACAAATTCCAGCTCCTTTTCTGTAATCTGTAGTTCCAAAGTCAATGGGGTTCCCAGACTGTGGACGGGCTCCTCAAGCTCTGGCCCCCTCGTGTGCCACCTAGTGGCCGGGTGGGGGCCCTGGGTGGGGACCGGCTAGCTGTGTGGTCTGGTGTGTTGAGCAGGATGGGTCTGTTCAGGGGCAGCTCAGGAAGGAGCCCTGGAATTCAGAACCACCTCTGGGGTTCTCGACTTTTATTTCCTGAAGGGTCTGGTTTTGAGTCTTCTGATCAGAAAGCTGAGGCTTGACCTACTAGGCCACGCACGTCTGCCTCTGGGACCAGGCAGAGGGGGGCAGAGCTGGAACAAAAGTAACACGGTTTTCACCCTCTTGGTGTCACCTCTTGGGAGCAGAGCTGCACCAGGTGGAGTTTCTCCCCTTCGAGCTCTGGTTCCTGGGTGCCCAGGGCTGAGGGATCCTCAGAGGGTCCTGGAAAGCCCCCTCCCTGTTGCTGGGTCCCCCAACCCAGGTCAGCCGTCACCACTGTTGGCAGATCTTTCCAGATTCCCTAGAATGAGTGGGTCTCTCCTGGGTGCAGTCTTCGAATCCTATTCCCATTTCTAAGGTGGGTTCTAGCCGTGCTGTCCTCAGAGGCATCTCGTTGGCCCCAGTCCAGGTGAGCCTTCCACGGCTGGACGTTTAGGGCTGCTTCACTGTCTTCCAGCGCAGGGACTGACAGGAGTTTACCTTCAATAAATGTCTCTTGCATTGGTCTACTTGGGGTTTGCCCACTCCCCACTTCTGACTGGCATCCTCGTATCGGGCATAGGAAAGTCATCAAGCTCATGACAATCGTGTATGAACTTAGCAGGCAACAAGCAAGGCCCCAGGGGAGTTTTCCGAGTATCATATGAATGTTCCTGCATGGATTTTAATACCTTTGGTCTTTTTAAGGCTTTTGTTTCCTCATTTTTGCCTGTCTGCTGGTAGAAGTTGCTAGAAAGCTTGGTTCTGGATAGTTTAGGACTTATCACACAGTTAGATGGCCCTGGCTGCCCTCTGAAGGAATCTATGATTTTATTTATTTTTAATTTTTTAAACATTTTATTTATTTATTCATGAGAGATAGAGAGGCAGAGACACAGGCAGAGGGAAAAGCAGGCTCCCTGGGGATCCCTGGGTGGCTCAGTGGTTTAGCACCTGCCTTTGGCCCAGAGCACGATCCTGGAGTCCCAGGATCGAGTTCCATCCACGTTGGGGTCCCGGCATGGAGCCTGCTTCTCCGTCCTCCTGTGTCTCTGCCTCTCTCTCTCTTTGTGTCTATTATGAATAAATAAATAAAATCTTAAAAAAAAAAAGCAGGCTCCCTGTGGGGAGGCCAATCTGGGACTCGATCCCAGGACCCTGAGGATCATGACCTGAGCCCGAGGCAGATGCTCAACTCCAGCCCACCCAGGAGGGAAATAACCATGTAAATTTTTCAAAAAGAGAATAACGTTTAAGTATGGTATCTCCTGTTTAAATGTGGGGTTTGGGAGGATTCACTGGAAAGCAATATGAATAATTTTCAAAATGTTGATACGTCGACTCCAATGTAATCCCTCTTCCAGGGTTTAACATGGTGCTAAAGGTATGTGGCAAACCAATATCCTTCTAGTAAGCTGCTCCTTTTATGCTTGTCTCTAATATTTTGTGGACTGAGATATTCTTCTCGAGCTATATAAACACAACATAGATTTCTAGGGAATATGAGTCCAGTTGCTGCCAGTACAATTTTAAATTTAAGAAGCCATTTGGCCTATGTACCAATTAGTGACAGTCATCAGGTAGGACATCTCCTACTTGATCTTGTGGCACCAAAAATTGTAATATGACAGTAGGATTAGAAAGTAAAAAAGGAAATCCCAAGGTTTTAGAAGTCAGAAGAAATCACACTTTTTTCTTTCAAAACACTGGGGTCTCCGCAGTGGAGAAGTTGAGTCAGGTGAGGCACATGAGGCCCCCAGAGCTAGTGCACTTACCCAGTCCCCTGTTGACTGGACTCCAGAAGATGAGGGGGTGAATCTGAGGCATGGAACTCGTGATCCACCCAGGACAGTCAAGATTTGGGCAATCACAGTACAGTTTAGGGAGCGGAGCACACCTGTAACAGAGCTTTACTTTCAATTCTGCTAAGTTAGAATTTTGGGGGCTTTATACAAGAGCTGCTTTAAAAAGGTCACCACTGGGGCACCTGGGTGGCTTAGCGGTTGAGCAGCTGCCTTCGGCCCAGGGCATGATCCTGGAGACCTGGGATCGAGTCCCACGTGGGGCTCCCTGCATGGAGCCTGCTTCTCCCTCTGCCTGTGCCTCTGCCTCTCTCTCTCTCTCTCTCTCTGTGTGTGTGTGTGTCTCTTGTGAATAAATAAAATCTTTATAAAATAAAAATAAATAAAAAGCTCACTGCTGCTCCGAGGATGGAGGAAAATTTGCCAACAACAACAAAAAGATGTAAGCAATACTGCAGGTGCATTAACAAAACACGTTAAAAAAATAACGTTACCATTTCCATTACTGTAGTATAGTATTAATTCTGGCAAACTGGAAAACACTACCTGAATTGAATAAAGTCCTCCTTCTTCCCCGCCAGAAAACCCCAAACCATCTCATTCATTCATTCATTCATTCATTCATATCTATCTATCTATCTATCTATCTATCTATCTATCTATCTATCTATCATCTAAGAGGTTGTGAGCAGGGGAAAGGGCAGAGGGGGAAGCAGGCCCCCGCTGAGCAGGGAGCCTGAGGCGGGGCTCGATCCAAGGACCCCAGGATCATGACCTGAGCTGAAGGCAGATGCTTCACCGACTGAGCTACCCAGGCGCCCAACAACCATTTTAATAACATTTTCTAAAGATTGATTTATTTATTTTAGAGAGTGACACAGAGCAAGCGAGTGAGCGCCCGGGCGACCCCCCTGCCCCCCCCATCACACCCCTCGCTGAAGATCCAGCACCTTTTGGAGCCTTCGGTCCCCCGCACAAGGGGTGCTCCGCTGCCAGGACCTGCAGACCCAGTGCCCAGCCTCGCCACATCCCGCATCTCTCCTCCTGGGGTGGGAGGAGCGCAAAGGGGAGGAGTCCGAGGCTCCAAGCATCGCAGGGACCCAGAATCTGTCCAAGCAGGTGCAGGATGATGAAGGGCAGGAGAGGATGGTGCCCTGGGAGAGGAATACGCCTGGAGAGCACCACACACAGAGCCTCAGGGCTTGCTGATCCGCACATCCTTTGCTTAGAGGTGAAAAATAGCGGAATTATGGTGAATAATGGAAGACCTCACCACCGTTCCGTATGGTTCAGGGAATTGGTTGAACCACAACCATACACATGAATAGTTCTACTTTATATTCAAGAATACTTGAATTTCTTTCTCTCCCTCTCGCAACCCCCCTCCCCCGTAACAGAGTAGAAACCTTTATAAATTTGGAATCACAAGAGTACTTGGGTTCGAATTCTGGATATGCCACTTTTAAATCGTGCAACCTCAGAGGACCTACTTAACGTCCCTATGCAACCCTCTGCTACAGTGTGGAAAGAACTTTAACTCCTGTAATTGTAAAGATTAAAAAGATAGTATTTGTGGAAACCGCCTTGTGAATTTTATATAGAGAATGTTTAATTTGATATTCTTACATGTAGATTATGACTACTTAAATTCTGTTCCAAAAAAACTACATGTAGTAAAAATTCTAAATGACTTTAAGTGAAACTTTTTTAAAAAATTGAGATATAATTGACATATAACATTCTATTAATATCAGATATGCATGATTCAGTAATATTTCTGAAATGGTGACAGAAAGTCTAGTTATCCATCATCATACATAATTACAAAATGTTTTATTCTCATAAGAACTTTTAAGATCTACTCTTAGCAACTTTAAGGTATACAATACAGTATTATTAATTACAGTCACCATGCTGTGTAGTGCATCTCCACGACTTTGATTTATAATTGGAAGTTTGTGCTTTCTAATCCCGGCTTCTGGCAATCACCAATCTGTTCTCTACTGATGTTGTTTAAGATTCCATATGTGAGATCACATGATACTTGTCTTTCCGATTTGCTTTACATAGCATAAAGCCCTCAAGTTCCATCTGTGTCGTTGCAAATGGCAAAATTTTCCTTTTTTTATGGCTGAATAAAATGCCAGTTTGTGTATGTGCATGTGTGTATACACACCACAATTTCTTTATTCATTCATCCTTAGATGGACACTGAGGTTGTTTCCCAAACAGTTTTTTCTTTTTTTTTGGTAAAGATTTATTTTAGAGAAAGTGACAGCGAGTGAGGGGGTGGGGACAGAGGGAGAGAATCTTCAAGTAGATCCCTACTGAATGCAGAATCCGACTCAGAGCTCAATCTCAGAAGCCATGAGATCATGACCTGAGCTGAAACCAAGAGTAGGACACTTAACCGACTGAGTAACCCAGGCGCCCCTTACAGATTTTATTTTGAAAAGTAATTTCTACACCCAACATGGGGCTCACACTCACAACCTGAGATGAAGAGTTGCACACTCCACCAAATGAGCCAGCCAGCCAGGCACCCCACCAAGATGGTTTTCTTAAACGTTAGTCCTATCTTCTCGTAGTTCTATGCCTCAGTCTTTCAAATGAAACAATGCACAATAGGATTATTCTTAATAATCATGAGCATTTATTAAGCACCAAGAGTATACTGCAATGGTTGCTATATAAAAGCTTATTTAACAATATAGTGTCCCTGCCATCGAGCTTACAATCTAAAATGAAATACAAGAATGCTGTTAAGACTACCTCAAAATTTCCTTAACTTAGAAATGGCTATTTTGGCAAGTAAGTGAGGCAAAGTGGCCTATCATTTTAGGTACAATGTTAATAAGGCTTTGAACATGATCCAGATGTCAGTGTGCAGCCTTAAGCCAGCACCCTGACATTTCCCTCAATTATATTAGGCTTGGTGAGAAAAAGAGCACTTAGAAGTTGGGTAAGAAGAATGAATTATTTCAAATTGCCTTGTAGGACTTTAAACAGAGAAATGCTTACCAGCCTGAGTTTTTCCACAGCCAGGAAAAACTCTACAAAAAATATTATGAGCTCAACCAAGCTCATCTTCTATTCCACAACCTTTCGACTTCCTCCTCCTTTCCCAGGGCTGCAATGATTCACCTATCAGGGAAGAAAGTACTGTATCTAGACAAAATATCCTGAAGTAGCAGAGGCTTACCACATCAAACTTCCAGGAGATATTAACTTGTATTTTAAAAGAAGAATGAGCAGACAGCAGCAGGGCTGCAGGAGAGGCCTGGCTACATAAGATACATAAACAAAGCAGCTGAGCTCAGTTCAGGCATCTTCAAACCGGTTGAGAATATGGGTAAGTGGTTATTTTACTGTTCCTTATTTCTGGTGTTAGGGGTATTTGACAATTTAGCATCAAGACCCCAAATTGTAAAGCCTGCACTATTTTGTCTATATCCAGAGTATTTAATAAATACTTTCAAAGTTTTCCTGGCTGGTCATGTATTAGCTGACAAAGGCACACTGAAGCGATTTGGATTCTTACTGTCAAATGCAAAGACTGTTTTAAACTTCTGAGTACATACAGTCTTAAACTATATATTGATTCTTTTCAATCGCTGATAATTCTTTGAATTCTAAAAGAACACTAAAAAGTAATAGGTTATAAATTATCAGAAAACCGAAATAGAATTTACTCTGTAAAGTGCATGCACAAACTTTTAAAAACATACATGCATACAAATATTTTAATGGCAGAGTGGTACATCCTGAGTTTTTTTTTTTTAATGGCAAAATGACATTTCAGCAATTTTTTTAGAAACCAATAATTTCTTCCTTAAAAAGTCTATGTTGGGAACTTTTTTTTAAATGGTAACACAGCAGCAGCAACATTTAACAAATATTCACAAAATTTGGTTTGCATACAAGTTTATCAAGAAAGAATGGCCAGAAACTTCAAGATAAAATAAAAACACTTTTTAAAAAGTAGAATAATCTACTACTTTTGACCTAAAATTGACATTTAAACATCTCCCTTCCAATTTAAAAGTGTCATTTTAACCTCCTCCTTATAGTAAATAAAATCCAATTACAAGATTTGAAATGAAAAACTTGAAACATCTATCCGTATCATTCCCTTTTGACAAGATGACAAAAATTAATTATCTCCCGCAAAAAAGGAGGGAAAATAAAAAATCAAGTATCACCATAGCTGTGGTAGAGGATTTTGGGTTTACAAATCTCAGTCAATGCACTTATTTTTGGTATTGCATGAAATAGCTAGAATTCCTGAATAAACCTATGTGTTTTTCTAAGACAAGGCAAGTTTGATTACATATAAAGCATAGACATTAGCATGGTTATAAAGGCAGTAAGACCAATACATATACATTCACTTGTTTTTAAGTGATACATTCCAAGCTACATAAAATTTAATTTTGTGTCCTATTCTAAGACCTACATCTTTGACCTTAAGCTTAGAAGCATACTAACTATAATATGTTAAAAAATACTTCATTTCTTCCAATATCATAAAGTATACTGAATTTTCAAATGCCTAGTATAAATTTTTTTTGCACAAAATTTAGAAAGGCATACTATTAGCTAGCTATAACTACTGTGTTAAATAACTGTAGGAAGGAAGAACTTCACAAGGAGAACAAATTATAAAACCAAGCATAATTATTGCATTTAACAACAACAAAAAAAAGAAATCAAGTAGTTCTGAATACACTTGTTTCTTGTCTTAGTATTGTATGTACTCATAGCTACTAGTTTGGTAAACATACTTGGATTCTACAAGAGTTCTTTTCCTTGGCTGGTTATTTTTCTTCCTTATGTCCTTCCTAGCAGCAGTTTGAATTATTTATCTTTTGAACACAAAGTAAAACAATGTTTCCTTTTTTTTTTTTTTTAATCTGAGTCATGTGAAAGCTGACTCCCTACTTTCATTTTTAAAAGTTAAACTAATTTTTTTTGGACCTTAATTAAAATCTAACATCTAAACCATGTGTTGTCTGTTGTTAAATACAGTCTACATTTTGACAAGTTGATAAGGGTTATTAACAAAAGCAAATCATGATTTCATCTGTGTTTTAAATATGATTACACAAGGTTTTTTTCTTTTTTTTTTTTTTTTTTTTTTTTTTTTTAAATTTATTTACTTATGATAGTCACAGAGAGAGAGAGAGAGGCAGAGACACAGGCAGAGGGAGAAGCAGGCTCCATGCACCGGAAGCCCGATGTGGGATTCGATCCCGGGTCTCCAGGATCGCGCCCTGGGCCAAAGGCAGGCGCCAAACCGCTGCGCCACCCAGTGATCCCGGTTTTTTTCTTTTTTAATGAGAAGGAAATGAAGAAACTCATTCATACAGGCCCTCTTTACTCTCAACTATTTTGAGATACAGCTTTAAATAGGGTGGATCAAGTCAAGTAATGTTGGTTATCTCTTTTATTTGCATAGAAGAGAGAAAAAAAATAAAGGAAGTTATTTCCTTCCTAAGGTCTCAGCCAGTTTCTTAAGTCTTTTCTTCAGCTCCAATGGAAATTTCTCATAGCACTTCTTACAGACGGGCTTCATGTCAAACTCCACAAATTTATTCCTAAAGACAGTAACAATAAAGGAAATTAGTAGAAATGTATTCAACACATATATAAATAATGTGAGGTAATTTTACTGAAGTAAATGAAGACACATGACATTGATATTCAGAGCAAAAAACTAATTCTCATCTCAACTTTTGTCATTGTAGTAAATGTAAAAAATTACAATATCATTTGAAAAAAGTCCTTATAAATTGATCTTATACATCTATCTGTATAATACAAAACATAATTACATTTTGGTCTGTACTATGTATATAGGACATCTAATGTCAGTATAATTTAGGTAAGTAAAATCAATCACACATTAAAGTACTATCTTAATTAATATTTTAAATGAGGTAGGCTATGAGGTTTCATCTTTCCTTGCATAAAATGGTTTGCCTCCTACCTCCAACAACAACAACAATCACTTTCAAAGAAATCTTAAATTGCAATGGATTATTTTGATTGGCTATCTGACAGAAAGGTTGGTGGGGTGACATAGGACAGTTTTTAGTCACTCTTTGGAAACAGAAATGAAATAGACTGCCTGTGGTTCCATTCTGTGAATGGTTAACTGTATGGAGAACTCAATTCTTTTTTTAAAAGCTAGAGCAAGACACATTATCAGTTTACTTGTAAAACAGTTCTGGAGAGACCAGGTTTTCAGGCAGCTTCTTAACTGTCTGCTATGCATTTCCAAATGGTAATTACAATTTTTTATTCTGTTGGAATCTAGGGTCCTATGCTGTGAACTGAGGAAATATACAACCTTGTAACCTGTGCCTTCTCTTAACTTGTTTTTAGGTGGCACTTCTGGAACAAATCTAGTGGTACATTATTATATGGCAAATGATTAAATCAGGCGATACAATTTTAAACAGCAAAGTTAATTCCTAATCAAATATTTAATAAAATGAAAACTCTTTTATTTTCAAGCATCACATGGAAATTATTCCCTTCTGTTTTTCACAGTGATATTAATGCTGAGAGAAATTCAAATGATGTTATTTTTTCACTGACAGTTTGATTTAAATAGTATTCCTGAGTTTTCATTTTCTCCCAAAGACTTCTTAGCAAGAAAGCTATTAAAACTGCCTTTTGGATAAAGGAAATAAATTATCACTGCTTTCAGAGATACTGCTAAGCAAATCTCAACAGTTTTAATTTTACATTTGAATTTTAACTCCTCTTTATGGAAGGAAACAAAAACTGTGCCAATAAAAAACTTCTGGGGCTCGGAACACAATGGTGACTGAGAAGGAACAATGGGACAATCATCTAGTAATTCAGCAAAATTTCAAAGACTGAAATATTTCCTATAAAAATCAGGAATAGAGTAGGGTTTGAAAACATCAAGAAGATGAATTCATAAACAGCACCAATGAGCACTCTATGAAAGTGCACACAGACACCAAAGACAGTGGATTTATTATGTACAGTAGTGGTCTTTGCTTAGATACGAAACATGCTGAGAGGATTTAACAGAGCCTAGAACATGTGGCACTTGGAATTTATCAATTACATTATTTTTGGCAAAGAAACCAAAAACCAGGATTCTAAAAGCTGTAATTACCAGAGAAAAATACTTTAAAAACTTTTCCCAATATCTATTAAAGACTGGAATTCTTCCTTTTGCATCCACTTGTTAAAAAAAAAAAAAATCTATACCATGTTGTGATTTAAACAAGGAGATGAGGGAGTCAACAGATTAAGGGAAATAAGTACAAGTTGGTAGTAAGTGGGGATTTATTAACGTAGGCTTTAATAATTTTAATAATTAAGCAAAAGGACCAGCTCTACACGGGACAAGTACTTGTATTTCAATCTCTGACAGCTACAAATACATGCCAAAAAGAAACAAAAGAAGCAAAAGACCAAAACAGAACAAAATATACTCTAAAGAACTAACCAAGAAGAAAGCAGTGAAAGTGATGACAGAAGGGACAGAAAAGTTTACAAACAGACTGGCTTTTTCTTTTTCTGCTTCTCCTTATCCTTTGCTTCTCTCTCCCGTTTGGCAAGTCGCCTCTTAAATTCTTCTGGCATTTTTTCATAACAGTGTTTGCAGACTGGTTTTAGATCAATTTCAACAAACTTATCCCTTTGAGCAGAACAAAGAAGGAATAGAAGAAAGAACATAAAACAATTAAAAGAAGAACCTTTACTTTCGGAAGGCCTACACTGAAAAAATAAGGAATCAATTATCTTTCTAAAAATTGTATTTTATAAGAATGTTAGCCCAACGTGTTCAGTCTTAGGATTCACACTGGACAAAACTGTAGACTTACTTGAGTGTTAATTTAGTGTTGCAGGTCGAGCAGGCAAAACAGTTGACACACCAGGCCTTATTCAGAGCAGAGACCACTAGAGGAAATGGAAAGACAACTGGTCACATACATTGGTATGGAAAGCAGCGGAGCTGACACTTTCAACTCAGAGAGCTGAGGTGGCTTCCATGATGCGTGGAAGAGGTTCTCAAGAGGTTTTCTTTTCTTTTCTTTTCTTTTCTTTCTTTTCTTTCTTTTCTTTTCTTTTCTTTCTTTTTTCTTTTCTTTTCTTTTCTTTCTTTTTCAAGAGATTTTCTTACAAAAGAATCACATGACTAAAAATTTTAGTGCTAATGTTTACTGAATCAATCAAATCAATTTATTTAAAGCTATTTTTTCCACATTTTAAAAAAAATGGAGCACTTATGTCTTCCACGACTGTAGGCTTCATCTTAGGGAAGATTACCATCACCATTTTCAATCTTTATTTATAGTTAACATTTTTCTTCTTTCCCTTGAGGTATATAAATGGTATGTACCATGTCTTCCCACCAAAGCTTGCACTCCCATGGATGACGGGGTAGATATTCAACATGCATTACGTCACTCAGATGAGCTTTTCTGGCACAGGGCCTGCCTACGAGCACACTTGCTATTACCTTTCCATGCCGAATGCCACTGGCCCAACAAAGAAATATGGACTAGGTAAGTAATTTAAAAAATCCAGGGGTGGGGATCCCTGGGTGGCTCCCTGGTTTAGCACCTGCCTTTGGCCCAGGGCATGGTCCTGGAGTCCTAGGATCAAATCCCACATCGGGCTCCCTGCATGGAGCCTGCTTCTCCCTCTGCCTATGTCTCTGCCTCTCTCTCTCTCTGTCTCTCAGGAATGAATAAATAAAATCTTTTTAAAAAAAATCCAGGGGTGCCTAGGTAGCCTCAGCTGGTTAAGTGTCTGCCTTCGGCTCAGGTCGTGATCCCCAGGTCCTGGGATGGGGCCCTGCATCAGGCTCCTGCTCAGTGGGCAGCCTGCTTCTCCCTCTGCCCCTGCCACTGCTTATGCTCGCTCGCTTGCTCACTCTCAAATAAGTAAATAAAATATTAAAAAAAAGATCCAGACATTAACTTATTTGTCTGTGGAAGTTTTTCTCTCAAAGCTGACAAGAAGCGAGCTTCCTATGACAGCTTCTCTCACCTGACAATTACCCCTCATAGGAGGGAGTTAAGTTTTATTTTCTATGGCACTGAAGAGTGCTCTCCTGAACTACTCCTTTCACAAACTGCATCACGGGCAGTGTTTTGCAAGTATTTCCCAAGTTGGGTTCTCTGACGAGAACCATGAAGCATGCTACAAAGAAGAATGTTTAAAACTTTGCCAGGAAGTTTCTAGCAGAATTGTGCTAGCCACTATTAGCAAACACAGCTGCTTCTGTTTTGTCCCAGTTAATTAGTCCTGCCTAATTACCACAGGACAAGGCTGGCCAGCCTAGAAATGTCTATAGAAAACTGCCAGGTTTTAGCATCTGCAGGGTTAAAGTGACTCTCGCTTACTGCCATGGCAGACTAAGCTGTTCCTAATAAACACTGCCCTACAGCTTCCAAGTTATATAATTCCAGGGAATAGAAATAGAAACAGATCTCAAGGTTGGCCACGAATGTTCCCACAATATCTACCGTAACAATCCCGTGGCACTACACTAAAGTATTTATCATAAAGGAGTAACATATCCAACTCTTAAGGTATTATCATCTCAGCTATGGATTACTTGAGAAATATGCCAAAGACAGAAAAAAAGTAACTGACAATGATCATATCCAAACAGCAGCAGTGACTGCTAAATTCTCACATTACCAAAGTGTTTTTGTGTCAAAATGATGCCATATAAAAATCCCTACAGACACGTACCATCACCCTCTATAACACGGTTGCAGTGGAAACAAACATCACCAAATAGCTGAAAATGAAAAAAAAAAAAAAAAAGGCGGTAAAAATTCAAGATGTGTTAAACTAAGTTTTATAACATCAAACAATTTAATATAATTTCTGTTCTTTCTATCATTTAAAACAAATTGCTGGCTACCTAGATCCAGAATTTACCAGTACTAGAGAAAATTAGTAAAGTTCACTGACTAGTTTTTGCTTTTTACAGTGAAAATAATTTACTTTTCATCACTATCAAAAACAAAAGAAGGCTTTGGAAATGATCCAAATTTAAGGAAGCTAAAGGAAAATAACAACCCTAGACAGGGTCCAGCTCTGGAGTGAAAAAAAATGATACAAGGACATTACTGATAAGCGACAAAACTGGAATAAGTACACTAAAGTATTATATCCATACTGATTAACTACAATTATGTAAGAGCACTCCATATTCTTGGGAAATATAAAGTGACATATTTAGGGGTAAAGGACCACGATGAACTTATCAGCAAATAATTCAGAAAACATAGGTGCATATATAATACATATATTTGTATATAAAGATATGTGCATTTATTAATGTATCATTTTATAGAGAAAAACACATGCAGATGACAAAGTAAAAGGTACATAGGTATTCTTTATATTTTTATTTTACAATCTTCCTGTGAGTCTAAAATTATCTCCCAAATAAAAAGTCAAAAGGACAGCTCTCAGTCCAATGTACATTTTCCAAGAGATTTCCTTGTAGCTAAAATATTAAGTTCAAATTCATCTAAGTGTATCTAGTATCCAATGAGTACAAACCATACCTGGTTATAGTGGGTTTCGCAATAGGCCAGGCCCTTCCTTTCATAATGGCGATGTCCAAGAAATGGCTTTTCACACTTGGCACAAACAAAATGCTGAAAGAAATTGCTAGAGGTCATTTTTGAATTGCCATCTTTTATTTATTTAATGAAGTAAAACTCCAAAGTTAAACTATCCTCAAGGAAGACACATGCAAGTCTGACGTAGTTACTTCACTTTGCCAGGGCTCCCCCTGTGACATGTTCAGTCTTACTTATTAATTCAGGTGTCTTGAATTAAGGTTCTGACAGGTTAAAGACATGGCCTATTTAAACAACACATAATGAGAAAAGAAGTCAACATGTTAGTAGCATCTATAAGGGAGGGGCTGTTGGATATGGACCATGACATTTCCTGCTTCAAGAAGGATTTAAGAACAAAAGAGCACATCCTGTATCATTACTGAGAGATCACAAAAGCAGTGTGTATTCTATATTAATTTTCTACAAGGTCATTTGTCTCAAAAATGTCCATATTTAATCTTCAGAATCTCCTACACTTGCCAGCACATCTGAATGATGGAAATTCAAAAGTCCTGGTTACTCCTCCACCATTTCAGACTCACCTCCACATGCCACTGCTTGCCCATGGCATTCACCACACGCCCTTCAATGGGCCGTCGACAAGCGCCACAGATGGGGACTCCCATTTTATCATGGCACGGCAGGCAGTACAGTTCTCCCTTCAGCTCCCGGGCATCAGCTGTCAGCTCCTTCCTGTCCATGAGGAAGATACCCAACTAAATACTACTACTGAGAGAGAAGAAACAGGCAGCCAATGTGGCTGACACACTTTGTAGCAGGTTTTTGAAGACTCATTCTAACAATCCCTGTAACCTTCTTTTTTCCCCTCAGTGTTGTTCACAGTAGCCTAAATTAATAGGCTTAATGGGTTTCAGATCCCTGTCAAAACATCATCATGCAACGATGATAAAATGTACAAATAAGTCTGGAAACTGATATTTATCACTTCCTTGTCTGTTATCACATTATAATCCCTCTGTCTTTCTTAAAAAGCTAGAAGAGAATCATCACAATGTTCAGGATGGACTCGGTGATACTATCTTTCCAAAATAACTGAGGTTAGTTAGAGACTAGTTCCATTTACTAACAATTAATTATTGCAAGTTATTAAGAGTTAACAGTTAACAGAAAAAATAAACAAATGAAATGCCCAGAACGTTCCTCCTCCAAATGCTAACGTTCACTATTATTTTCTGTTTCCTTCATCAGTAAACATTTAGGCAGAGGTGGCACCAATTAGCCAAATGGACTTGTTTACATTTCATCTGTTTTAAGTAATTCCTTAGAAGTGCTAATGACAAATGAACAGAGAAAAATTCCACAGAGTAAAAAAAAAATAAAAAAGAAAAAAAAAAGAAAACTTCCAGAGTGAAATAGGCAAGAAAATAAGATATAAACTGATAATCACAAAAAAGATGTGATTTTTTGTACTTACAGCACAAAGTTGTTTTCTTGATCTTTAGCTTACCCTTATCTCTCTCTACCCTGCAATAATTTAGCATGTGCGTTCACACTGATTATATTAAACTCTTTCCATTAAATTTTTAGATAATTTAGAAAATTGTAACCTAATAATTTATCATGAGTTTCTGAAGAAAAAAATTCCCTTTAAAGTAAATAAAGCAAAATTAAATAAAAGTAGCTCAGGATATTTTAAGATAACACTCTATTACAACTGAAAAAATTATGTAGGTACAAAGAGAAGACTTTTTAAGAGGTTTTTTTTTTTTTTTGGTCCTGTGTTGAGAAAACAGAGTGATCAAAAATAGTTTTGGGGGCAGCTGAGGATATTTTACTATTGATTGACTATTGACACACACACACACATATACATACACATGGGGGGAGTGTATGCTAAGCACACTCAAATGTGGTAAAATGTTAAGTGATAAAATGATAGGTAGTTTTTATATTATTCTCTTGACTTCTTATAGGTCTAAAATTTAGATTACAAGTTGGAGAAAAACAATTGGGTGTGCTGGAGTAATAGAAATACAGAAATATGTGATTTTTCATTTTATTTCTACTATTTATGTAATCAAATGGCAATACCCGCAATTGGCACAGTTGAAATGGTCTGGATGGTATGGGTCATTCTTGAATATCAGCGGCTGCTCATCAATGATGGCATGGCATTTCTGGCAGATGTATTTTCCAAGGCCTCTGGCTTTCTCACGATTATGACAGGGGCGACACAGATGTCTAAACAAAGCCAAAACTTTTTTAGAAACTTAAATTTAAAATCTGAGGTTCTAAAAAAATAAATAAATAAATAAAATAAAATCTGAGGTTCTTTCTAATAATTAAAAGAAATACGCCCTGAAAAAGAGTTAAATAAATCATTTTTATGGTTTTTTTTTTTAGAGATTTTATTTATTTACTTGACAGAGAGAGAGCGGGAGTAGGCAAAGCAGCAAGGAGGAGAGGGAGAAGCAGGCTCTGCAGTGAGCAGGGAGCTTGGCATAGGGCTATATCCCAGGACCTTGGGACCCTGACCTGAGCCAAAGGCAGACACTCAACCCACTGAGCCACTGACTGATCTTCCTATCCTGCTTCTGTTGGCCCAGGGACACAGAATTCTCGGGTCCTCTCAGAACAGATAGCAGGCGAACTGATACACTGAGGTCTTGAGTCTCAGTCCCAGGGGAAAACATGCATGGCCTTGTAGCAGTTACTTCTCTAACCACACCTGATGAGGATGAAAAACTCCTACCTCCCAGCATTCTTGACAAACCCAATATCTGCCAGCACTTCCTGGCAGAGGTCACAGCGGAAGCACTCAGGATGCCAGCTGTTATTCATGGCTTTGATCACTCGGCCAATGATGAATTCACCTGTGGGAAAGTAACACAAAGGACGTCCAGTGTGCACCCTATTGCTAAAAGCACTAAGGCAAAAGACATGGAAAAAAAAAATGTATGTCTAACACTTTCTCCACAACTCAGGGCTTTCTAGGTATGTGTTGGCCACAGTGAGCACTGCATTAGGAGGAAGCTGTTTTCACCTGTGTCCTTGGTTGTGATTCTGTAGTCATAGTTTCTGGTTGTTTTATCACATCTCTGGATCTGGTTTTCTCTTTTCCCAATGATATACAGGGTTCTCTTAAATGCCTTTTATTTCTGATCATTACCAACAGAGAAAACTGAAATCCACAGCACATTTTCTTGAAACCTATACTTAATTTCTTCTTTCACTAAATTTTAGAACATTCTACTCAGTTTCTCCAATGTCTGGAGACCTTCTAGTAGAATTGTTAGCAACCAGTGACGTGGCTAAAATGCAAGCAAGTTAAACACTTGTATAACACACAGCCATCCTTAAGCATCTGAAGCACCCCTCCAATATTTTCCCTCTCTTTTGGCAACCCCAAAAGTGAGTAGGTAAAGGCTAAATTAACAGGGGGCAGGCACATTTCAAAAGATCATCTGATAAAAATCTTAATCAAAAACTAACTTTACAGTAGATGCCCTTAAAAATCATTTCTCTCTGGGTTTTGACACTCTTCCAGTTTGTTATATATGTATACATATATATATATATTTTTTTTATTTAAAGATTTATTTATTTATTTATTTATTTATGAGAGAGAGAGAGAGAGAGAGAGAGAGAGAGAGAGAGAGAGAGGGGCAGAGACACAGGAGGAGGGAGAAGCAGGCTCCATGCTGGGAGCCCGACGCGGGACCCGATACTGGGACTCCAGGATTGCGCCCTGGGCTAAAGGCAGGCGCTAAACCACTGAGCCACCCAGGGATCCCCAGTTTGTTATATATTAATGTTAATATATTAACAAAGGACTGATAAAGCACCTGGATGCTACTTATAATGAGCACCCAACACCATTTTCACCACTGACATAATTTTGAGACTCACTTTTTACTTTGCCATTCAGCAGCAAAACTTACCACACTGATGACAGCAAGGAGCAAAGAGCATCTGAAAGTCATGTTCACAATACTTCCTTCCTTCAAACTGAAATAGAAAGTACCATCAATTTGTACAGATGAAACAATCACAGGATGAATATAATTATTCTGTGGAGACATATAGGAAAGTTGTTTTTGAACTAAGCGCTCTACCCTAAGAATTTATAATTCTACTGAGAGTTTTAAAAGCAGATGTACTTTTGTACCTTCCCTAAAGATACACCAAACAACTGAGGTGACACCTGGTATGGCTCCAGAATCCAGTGGCCTCCCTTTACTGATGCTAACTCTTTTCTGGCTTGCGGACTCATCATGAAGAGTCTAACTGAGAGCTGTAGACCCCTCTCCTGAGAAAACAGGCACATACACACAAACCCCTTCTCACTTTTTTTTTTTTTTTTGGCTGTTATCTGAAATGTACCACAAGCTTAAATATTTACAAATGCTAGGTATTCTAGTATATTTTAGATTTACACATTTTAAAGTGAGGTCAAAACTGATTTAAAAAAATAAATATTCTATTTTAGTAGTTGGAAAAATTTTTATCCTCCACTTTTCTCCTTGAACTATTTCCATTTCATTTCCCCCAAAGTTTTATCCTGGTGTGATATTTTTCCCCTAAACTCTATACTAAAGTCTTTTTTAAAAAAGAGTTTATTTACTCATGAGAGACACAGAGACATAGGCAGAGGGAGAAGCAGGTTCCCTGTGGGGAGCCTGATGCAGGACTCGATCCCCAGACCCGGGATCACAACCTGAGTGGAAGGCAGACACTTAACTGCTAAGCCATCCAGGCGCCCCTATACTAAAGTCTTCAACGGATCACCCTACTATACTTCTTGGCAATTAAAATGTTATGAAACTTTACATTTTGTTTTACTTTATGAACCCATAAGGCTCTAAAACATTCTCTTTCTTCTGGATTAAGTTACCATTACAATGATTATTAATACACAAATGGTCAAAACATGAATATGTCACAAATGGCAAATTTCACTTTCCACTATTTACTTGAAAAGCCTATCTTAATGAGATGAGCAGGGCTCCTCTTCCTCTCACAATTATTCCATGTATCCACGGATTAATATGACCTACCACTAGAAGACTCAGGGTTCAACATTAATTTTCATTTTGGGGGTTGCTTTTACCCTTTTCACATAAATAAGTCATGAGAATTATATTCTGTCACCCTTTGAATCGTCGAACCCCTTGCAAGTTGTATGTCAAATATATTACATGCTGTTTGACTATCAAAATCTATTTTTAATGATGTATCAATAGTCAACTCAGTTTACTCAATCATGGAAATTAGCTGGAGATTTGCTCAATTTATTGAACCTACTTGGCTATAATTAATTGGCAGACCCGCAAAGCAGATTTTGTGCCAGAAAAAGGCTTACTTCATTTTGAAATTCAAATGAATAAGCTCTGATACATTTAATGAATCTGTTTTTAAAAGTTACAAACAGGTGGTAATACATTGATATGTTTATTGCTGTATTAGCCAATCCTGTGTCATATTGCACTGTGTATAGCCCCAAGCAGGAGTTATTTATGAAGCAGATATGTTCCTTTACTGGATATATATTACATATATATGTAGAAATGTCATGTTTTGCTTTTAGCAGTAGTCAAAAACTATTAAAATATAGACTCAGAATCAACTCCATTGATTTAGTCGGAAACAATAAATTGTTTACCACCCACCCCAGTGTGGTGAAAGACCAAGGCTCAAAATTGTTTGTGTCAACTGGCCACTTACATTTAATAGCAAAAGACTGGTTAATGATAATAATGCATCACAACATCTTTAGAAGGAAAGGAGTGTGTGTGTGTGTGTGTGTGTGTGTGTGTGTGTAGCAGTTTTATTACAGTTTTTAAAATCAGTAATTTTTAATGGAAACAACTTGGCCAAAGATCTGTCACAGAATTTGGAGACCATTAAAACAAAGTTTAATAAAAAAAGAAAGAAAAGGGACACTCAACTTTTAGTTTGTATTTAACGAAAGGGGGAGACATATATTGTTTCAAATAAAAACAAAATGAATCCAACAGTCAGTATATATATTATATTTACTGGCAGAAGGTAGACAAAATCAGGATCAGTTGTAATTTGAATAAGTCTTTTCTTTTCAAAAGATTATTTATTGATTTATTTTAGAGAGAGGGAGAAAGCACAAGGAGGGAGGAGGGACAGAGGGAGAGGGAGAAGTAGACTCCTTGCTGAGCACGGAAGCCAGACATTGGGTTGGATTCTGGGACCCTGAGATCATGACCCGAGTCAAAGGCATATGCTTAACTGACTGAACCACCCAGGCACCCAAAGTCTTTTTTTTTTTTTTAAGATTTATTTATTTATTTTAGAGAGAGAGGGAGTGGGCAGGGGAGGAGCAGGGGGAGAGGGAGAGGAAGAGAATTGCAAGCAGACTCCCCACTAAGTATGGAGCCTGAAATGGTGCTTGATCCCACAACCCTGAGATCATGACCTGAGCCAAAACCAAAAATTGGATGCTTAACCACTGGAGCCACCCAGGCGCCCCTCGAGTAAGTCTTTTAAGATGTGATTCAAATAGGTAGCATAGCGTAGTAGTTAAGAACACTGACCATGGATCCGAAAGGCCCGAGTTTAAATTCTGGCTGAACCACTGGCTGTGTGGCTTTGGCCAAGTTGTTTAACCTGTCAGTGCCTCGTGAGAGTCACAAGCCTCTTCTGTTTTGGCTGTTTGTTCTGGCTTTTAACATAAACTCATCATGTTTATAATTTCTTACCACTGCTCTTTCTGCTTTGCTCTTATAGGATTCTCCCTTTAAAAGGATGAGTCCTGTAATATAAATATACAGAGGAATACCATTCAGCCATAAAAAAGAAGGGAATCCTGCTATTTGCAAAAACATGGACAGAACTGCATGCCATTATGCTGAAATAAATAAGTCAGGCAGAGAAAGACCAATACTGTGTGATCTCACTTATGTGTGGAATCTAAAAATGCCAAATCACAGAAACAGTGAATAGACTGGTAGTTACTGGGGTCTGGAGGGATGGGGGAAATGGGGAAATGTCAGGCAAGGGACAAACTTCTAGTTATAAAATAAGTAAGTTCTGGGGATCTAATGTACAGATATAGTTAACAATACTGTATGGAAGACTTGAAGTCTGCTAAGAGAGTGGATCTTAAATGTTCTCACCACACAAACACACACACACGATAATTACATGAGGTGATGGATGTGTTGACTAACCTTATTGTGGTTATCATTTCACAATATGCACATATATCAAATCATCATGTTGTATACCTTAAACTTACACAATGCTGTCTGATGATTAAATTTCAATAAAACTAAAGAAAAAGAATGAATCCTTTTGATTAGGAATGAAAAAGGCAAAGTCTTAAAAGGAAGTTCTCATGATTACTCCCCACATTTCCAAATCTGCCACAATTCTGAATATAGAACATCCAACACAGTTCCAGGCTTCATCCTTAACAAGAAAATTCATAAGGTAGGGAAAGACTGGAAGGCTTACAACTTTGAGGACACGTGACTAATGTCTTCTGATTCGTGTCCTGGAGCAATTATTCATAGTAAGATTTGAGATTCCTTTCTCTTGTGAAGTGAGAGAAGTTAGTGCTACTGTGAATAGAAATATATTATCAGACAAATTAACTTTCAGAAGACTTCAGAAACTTAGTTCCCTGAAACCAAGATACAAGGATCCAGGAATAGATTCTCTGGAAACCATCCATATTCCAAACCCCTTGCATATCCTGAAGTGTGCTTACTCATACAGAATGTCTAAGAACTCTGGTTGTTGCCACCTGCAAGGATCAGGGATTGTTCAGTATGGAGGAGGATGAACCAAAAATAGCTCTGCTCTGTACTGTTTTGAGTTCTGTGAAGATTCTCTTTGAGGGTGGGGAGATCCTGCTGCTTTAAAGAAAGCTCAGAATTAGAAACTTGTCTCATTTCAAGGCAAGTGCAAGCAAACGCTGACGATCTTCACTTGGTGATTTGTACTGGTTTGTCGTCAATGGTTTTGAAGTGAGTGGGTCAGCAGACAAGCACCTCCTCTGGTTGGAAAGTTTCCTCTCCACCAGACCTCCCTTCTCAGGGTTCAGCCTTCCTGAGTAATTATGACTCTGTATAAGAGGAAATGAGTGAAGAAATCCCTTTGTAAGCCCTCTTTCCACTAAATCATTCATCATAAATTGGCCTTTCCTGTTATGCATTTTGTGATAGGGAAAAAAGGACGCATCTGGGAAATTCAAACTAAAGAGAGAGAGAAAGGAATCTGAAGTATTAACAAAGAACCTAGCCCCTAAACACCTAAATGTGTACTATGCTGAACTGAAAAAGGCTGCACACCACATTCCTAGTCCTTAGTTCAATCTGCTGGGATTTGTAATGTTTCTGGAATTATATCTCTCTTTAACTGTTGGTTCCATTTTACTTACAAAAGTATCTTCAAAGGGGAAATATTAAGATGATCCTTTTACTGGAGATACTCCAAGATGTCACAAAGTTAGATTTAGGAGTCATTACAGTGGCTATATATAGTTGATGTCAGGGCCTCTGGTCTCCATAGGTATTCCCAGCCCTGCCCCTTCCCCAGAAATGGCATTTAAACAGCCTTCTCATGCCACCACTGACTTGGTCTTTTACCTATATTTCTTCATATGTACTGGAGGATGATTGGAGCTACTAGCAACTCATGAAAACCAGCACTGATGGAAAGAGATTTCCCTTTGAAGCTAACTACAATACCAATTCAAAGATCACTAATCATATATAACTCATACATTTATCCAACCCTTCTAAATTTTCCTGGTCTGAAAATGAGGAAAGTACCATGGAAGCCACCTTAGTTCTACCCAAATCATTGTGAAAACTGTATTCACTCCTAGGACTAGGGCGCAGTGTGGTCTACACGCCTGTCACACATTGCGTTGTAAGCTTTCCATAATATTTACTGAATGAATGAAGCAGCAGTCATGGCCACATATAAGGGACCATTATTTCTCAGTCCTAGGAAACCATTTCAGTTTT